TGCTTTCGCCACTGGTTCAATCTTCACACATCACGTGATGGCTTGTTTATGGTAATAGACACCAAGGTCAGTGTAAACCAGACATTTTCTTGTTCAGTCTCCCATCAAGCAATGGGTGCTTGAACGTCACCTCTTCATCAGGACATAACAAACTTCGACTCTGCACGTCTCACTGTACAGAATGCACCACGCAGATTGCACCTTCATGAGTTGCATTAGACTTCACTTGTGCTCCGATTTCAACCAAAACCAGCATCAACTAATTTTGCAAAATGAGCCGCTTTTTGGGAGCTAGTTTTAAACTGGAATGCCACTTAGAGTTGTACTGGACGAATAAACGTGGCTTTCAAAGATTTCAAACTTTTGCATTCTAGTACATCACAACAGCTTGCATCTGTTGTGGGCCCCAGCATGTGGTCTTAAACCACGCCGGGCCACTGAGTTGATTCTGGCCCGATCACGCTACCATGATACCCGCGATGAAGAAAAGACCGGAGAGGACGTGGACACAGCCATTTACTCCAGCTCTCAACCAAGTTGGTGTCGTTGTGTCGTGGGTGGCATTTGCGCCTGTGATTTTATATCTCGGATGTATGGGTAATAGATGAGCTAACATCGAGACCTAGGTGTGAGGACAATCCATGATAAATGTTCGCGCAACTGAGGGGGGAGTTGGGGGTCCGCGCGGCTGGCGAAATGCTGCGAATAGGGGGACCCTGTGTCGGAGTAATCGGATAACGAGTGCGCATCAACGCGATTCACAGTACATTCTTTTGCGAGTCTGCAAACAGACACGGCTTCTTCGGCCGAAGATCGTGAAAGAGGTCGGCAGCGTTTTAGGGATCGACGTTTCATGATTGACAGAGGCGATGTCTTAATCTCCGTCCTCCTATACCACCAGAAATTGCACTGACGAATAATAGCTAGGTATTTCAATTCTTAAACCGCCAAGTATCACAATATTTGCAAAACCAGACGTCTACCATGGGGGTGACATCTCGTACGTATTAATGGACGCCCATGTCTCTTACTCTATAATTAGCACTTATATTGTGGATGCCAAACGCCACCGAATTAAAAACCCCTAGGTAGACAGTGTAGGATAGTCCTCGTGATTGTGATATGGATACCAACCCAGAATGCCAGAATTTTTTACATAAGTTTGTATCGCTGCAATATAATGTTCTCGTCGTCAATGTCACTGAAATGCTTTAAGCAGAGCAAAAAACTAAGACGAATTTATCATTTGCCGGGTCCTAGAAAGGTGAGATAATTCTCAGTTTATCCAAACTGTGAGTTTATACTCACACTGATGTTGACTGTCCCGAATGTCGTCAATGGTGATGTAATCAACTGGAACTTTGTCGAAGAATGTATACATCAAGTCAAGAGTACGTTTGGCGAGTGATTGCTTGTAGCATGATCCAGCATGAAAACATCCCTATGCTTCGTAGGTGCATGTGTCGCCAGTGTAACAAATGGCCATGAACATTCAATGTCTCAATTATTCAAGCATTTACTAAGAGAGATGCACAATTTAAATTTCCTCTAACAATCCAGGTCTGAGTTCCCACTTTCTTGACTTTCAGACTGAACATCAGCAGCCTGTACCAACTCACTGGTGTCGACAATACTTAGATAGGATCAGAATATCTCTAAACCATACTGACTCAGCGTGATACCCACTCGGCTATCGATTTCTTCCCAATCCATAAAAAAGTGATTTGTTAAAAACATACAAGCGTGTACTCCCTGGTCGTACTTCTTCGTTTGATGTCACTTTTATACAAAAAGATCACCTACCCTTTACATTGCTCGCTCACCGAAATGTCATTAAGTTAATTTTTTTCCTAGTAGGGTTTGCTGAACAATTTTAGGAACTGAGCTAGGTACTGTCCTACATACCAGCAGCCCCCTCTTTCATAAATCCCCCTTAACTCAGCCTCTGTTCACATTTAGTCCACCTCCTCTTTTATTTAGCCGTTGAACTAGACAAGGGTCATGCATGGTAGACAATGGGGGTATTCATAGCTAACTGGTACCGTAAAAAACTCGGAGCCCAAGGGACCTAACCATGGGCTTCCGTTTTTATTAAGTTCTCAAATTGTATGTACTACGTGTCTGAAGTATATTATCGTTAGGGAAGCCTTGTAATAAGTCAAGTATTAGTTAACTGGAAGTGTTGTTAAACCCATGACGGAAAATTACTTGTTAATATTGGAAACTATCGACATATTCCTAACCTGAAAACAGTTTGCATTCAAAGTAAGGGGAATCAAAACGACATAAGGACGAAAATGCTGCATTCAGGTCTATTCAGGTGATTGTTAAAGTATTAGGCAACTAAGTAGATTGTTTAAGACCTGTAATCAATAGGCTAGCAAGATGAAAAACTCAGACCGATTCTATGAATCGCATTTTGGCCACTAGACCTCTGCCGATGAGTAAAGGGAGCAAGTACAAGGTTGTCTAAAAGAATCAGGCTCTAGGCCAATAACCGCGCCAACTCTCCCACTTTCGCTAAACCTTCACAACGTTTCAATTATGTTCTACTTTGGCTAAATACTAAAAGTACTTAAAACACATTGGAACTGTGATTGGTTTGTCAATATGTGCGCACGTGCAACCGGCGCGCCATGATTGGTTCATTTATCATTGAATGGCTGTGTTTGACCCTTCCGAGGTGAACAAGGTGCGGAACACGAATATTGGGGAAACTTGGAAATGTTGTGAGGGGCATATTCGCTTTGATTTCGACAGTATTGTAATTTATTTGGTTAATATCACGAAATTTTATCGTGTTATAGCGTTTAAAATTTCCCGGATGGCAATAGGTAAACTTGTCCTTAAAAAAGTTTCACCTGATTATTGATTTGAAAGGCTGCGCAAACGTATAGAGGTTAATTTGACGGTTTAACATTTGGCCATTGGGTATTCGTAGCTAGATAAGGGTTCCCCAGCACCCAGATGTTCAAGGTACTAATTTCCCCACTGCGTCGAGAAGGGTGAAGTTGCGCATGTATGGAACAACGTATTAGAGTTACAGCAGCAATTTATCAACCAATTGAGAATCAATTATTCAAGCACGAAAACCTTTCGATGGATCCAGGTCCTTCTCCAGCTTTGAAAACATACCAGAGTAGGAAAGATGAAAAGCTTGAATTTGCTCGTAACTGACACTACACAAATAAACAAAACACAGAAAAAGATTGCTTCAAAAAAGCTAAAAACTTTCTCAAATAAACAAAGTTAGATACTTCGACTGCCGGTATATTTACTTAACACATAAGATCCTCTAAAATTTGGTTCACTGGCTCAACTTAAGACGAATAATTGATTTTCAGGAAAGCACTCAACGGTAAAGGAGGTTCACCAGTGTGCATGAGCGGCCGCCTTGCGAGTTCGCGCAAGCTCACATGCGCGCGCACGCTCACGCATATACGCACGCACATGGACGCGCGTGCACGTTAGCGCGCAGTGGTACTGACACGCACACGCAGGAAGGATCTGTAGACAAACGCCAGGGTCGCGTCGGTGTGTGCGATCGTGAGTGGAATACGCGTACGCGGTGTTGTTGACTTCGACGCATCTTTTTTGTTTCTTCGATCTGTTGGCGATCCCAACGACGACCTCAAAGTCTCGGTGCCAGGGGACAGTTGAGATATCTGTTTCTGATTTTCCATCCACGACTGCTTTGAGGCCCCAATAACTGTAAACGATGTCATCCAGCAACAAGTACCGAGTTGGAGGTAATTGAGCTATACTAAATGAAAATATGAGTTTAAAAGTTCGTGCCAATGTTATTTTCAAAATTGGCTGTATTTCCATGTAGTTTAATGCACACCACAGCGGGTTGCCACCTCATTCCTGAACCCTTCACCTTCAGGAGCCTCATATTTATCAGAACAGAGTTTTGGCGTCAAATGATAAATTTGTGGTGTCCGTGGCCATCGCTATGAAAACTTGGGTTAGTTTGCGGTCCATTGGTGGCTCTAAACCATAGCTGCCGCTCATTCCCGTGGTTTTTCGAAAAACTGACTTGAGGCTCCTAAAGGTAACAGCCAACGCATTCCACTTGAGCCAAGGCAATGGGTAGTCGGGATTCATTAACCACTTGAAGTATTGTCGACATTATACTCTATTTTCAGCTATTCAAGTCACTTTATGCTGGATAAATGCGTTTGGTAACGCTTCTGGACCATTTGTGGACTACGGATACTTTGCTCACTTTGTTTCCCTCATTATCGGCGCAATTAGCTCTAAACGTCTAGTCGTTGCAGCGTTCGTGTATTTGTTAGTGTGGGACTGTTTTTGCTTGGTTTTTTAGCTTTTGCATAGTGTAGTGTGGGGTGCGGTGTATTCTGATTTTTACTGAACCATTACCGAGAATTGGCGCTTCACTGAATGTCTCTATTGGGTGGTCAACAAAATAACTCCGAAGCAAACGTCGTGCTAGTCAACTTTATTCCCCTTTTGGCCTACCCATGTTTAGTTACAGCTTGAGAACTATTTGCGGAGAGTCGTTGTCGTTTTCCTCATCCCCAACATCTCTTGTCTTTTGAAATAGTATTTGAAAATATGCGCACCAACTATTACACCAAAATTATTCACGTTTAATCAGTTTCGTGTGCATACTCGGTTATTGGTTTTCCTGGTGAAACCGAAGATCTCTTCAGTGGTTTGGTTCAGGTTAGCTACGGCTCGAGCAATCCAAGGGCGGTACAACATTTGCTACTCCAGGTGACTTAATCTTCAGAGCCTTCTGTTTAGTTAGTTAAACATGGTACTTATTATTTGCAATCATTAGTCGATTGGAAACAACATTTTGACCTAGTGTAATATTCTGGGCCTTCATTTTCCCCTATTTTAGATTTCGTTTATTTCGAAGTATCCGCCACTGCCCCCTACCAAATCAGGCGGCTTGATGAACTTATAATGGTAACCTTCGTTTATATTAATGCTTTTTATCTTCTTATATAAACCAATTTCGTTGTTTTGTAGACCCCCAACGGCGTAGAAGCCAAAGTTACTTGCTACTTTCGACGACGTGATATATCAAACACCTTAATACAGCAGGCTGAAAAGTTTTGTGAGTTAGTTCTGGCGTTCTGTGTTTCTCCGTCTGACTTTAAAGTTTTCCCACTCTTAGGTGATTTTAATGCTGTTACTCATTTGTTAGAATCGAATAGATGAACTGTTGAATTTTTGTATAATCAGGCTCAAAGGTGGCGTTATTTAAATAAATATTTGTCAGTTTTAACCTTCCCCCTATTACAATTGCATTTCACTCTCTTATCAGTTTAAAGGACCCATGTTTGAAACCCTGAACCCATTCGTGTTGACAAGTATTCAAGTCTCTTAAGGGCCCTTAAGCAACTGATTTGCCTTCTTCCTTCCTCACAGATTTTCATGAAACGGATGATTCGAATGGTGATTCAAGTCCTGCCCTGTCGGACCTCCAGCGCCATCAGGTAAAACATCGAGAACTTTTCCACTCTCGAACAATGGAATGCCTCCCCGCCACACATATTCGTGGTAAGTTTTCTGTTATTGTTTGAAATTCGCCTAAAATCATTGATTTTGTGTCGTCTCCAGTTAATGAGTGGTCAGTCAAGAAACAGCTGACGTGTTCTGCTTTTTAGTCGCCGTTTTTTGGGTGGTGCGCCAAGGCCTTTTTCGTCTACATAGAGGAATTCGATAAGTTAAACAAAGGGTTTTTGAACTTGGGGTCTTGTAAAATAGACATGGCGCCTTGTCTAAGCTTTGATAATAAGTATCCTGATATCCTGGCTAGTGTTTGAAATTGATTTGCGGTGTATCGTACCACATCACTTACAAACCAGTTTGGGGAGGTGCATCCGAACAGAATTGATGCCGGTAAGAAGTGGTGTCAGTTAATTTTGCACGAGTCGCCGTCTTTTACACGTCAGGGAGTGTTCCAGTCTCAACCACTTGCTTTTACTACACGTGCACTTCTACGTGTTATTCTGTTTCCCTAAGCGTTTTATGACTTTCCTAGTCAAACTCGGTTGTTATTTTCCCCATCTAATAGGCCTTTCACGTAGTTTGGTGTATTTTGTGTCAATGTGTGTGATGATGGGCAACAGCCCCGGCCACTATCGCCGCCGCCGCCGCCATTTTGAATTTGCGCTCATGAAGGTGTGCACAACCCACCCGCTCGCACATGCGCGTGGTAACTCGTGCGGCGATGGCAATGTGCGTATGTATTGCGTCCGCCATAATTTATTTGCTCATGCCTCCCCTTTCATCCACTTGGTTTGAGCGGCTTTAGCTAACATTGTGCTGCCATGCAAGCTTGTCTACATTCAGGGGGCCGGTGATCCTTTTTGCAACTGGGTAAAGGAGGCGGCTTTGTACAAAAAGGAGCGAATTCGTCCTGATCACGCTATTCCTATTTTCCCAAATGTCGGTATTGATGTGAGTGTCTTCTCGCATGGAATATCAACCCTCCTCACCTCGTCTTTTGGTTCCATGCTTTGGTAACAAATCAAATCAAATAGCTATCCTGTTCTTTTTCGGGAGTCGCCATTGGGTTGTCGACAAATCGCGCTGTAAAATACGTTGGGTGTAAAATGTGGCCGAGTGTTTGATAGTTCCATTGAGGTGGTATCGCAATCATTAAAGAGGGCTCATGACAGGCGTTTTCTGCCATTGCTCAGGACCAAAGGTGTCCCAGCCATAAACGTTATTAATGATTCCTCGCATATTCTTTTCAGGAAAGTGTACAGTGGCTTTATACAATGAGGTAGAGCCCTTGACTTCCTACGTGGAACGTGAGGATGCTTTCTACTATCGCCTCATTTACGATCCCAGCACAAAACGGCTCCTGGAGGATCGAGGCTCCATGCGGATCGGATCTGATTTCCAATCAGAGATTCAGCCCCTTTTGGCAAAAGGTGAGGAAGGGTCACCACCTAACCCCCTACTCTAACGGACTGCTCAGAATCCGACGTTTTTATGTACAAGGCCGCATTTTGTTGAGCTTTTGATAATCCGTGTCGTTTAGAGCGCAAACACGTGGCCCTTAAGGCTCAGCTACATGTTTTACGTTCATTTGAGCGTTCACCTTGATCGATCAACTACCAGAAAGCCTCTGAACTTCCTCATCCGTCGGGATCATTGTATTCGAAGTCAGTTTTAATCCGTGGAACTGAGATTGGTAGTCACTTAAGGACCTAACAAAGCTCATACAGGCACGATGTTATTGAGATGTACCAAAGCCAGGCCTCTAAGTTGATGCCTAATTTTATTCTGCCAAACCATCGAATGCCCATTTTGTAAAACGATTAGACCAACGTGCAATTTGACATAGTCCAAAACTGTTGTCGATTAGGTGAGAAGGACCCCCGGTTTAAACAGAACCTGGAGGAGCCGGTTTGGAACCCTTTGAACTCCCCTCCCACCTCGGAGATGGACACCTTCATCAGCGCGGTGAAGGCTGTCGGTCTCTACGGTCGTGCGTGCGACCCTGCCAGCAGCCAGCAGCACCCCCTGCTAATCAACGCCGCAGCCGCTGCAAGCAGGGATGTCACTCTCCAATTTGCTCATGACATCCTCTACAAAGCCGGCTTCGATGTCCAGAAAGCCATGTCTCTTCTTTTGCCGGGTAAAATCACTGTTCAATTTCAGCTTCTATATCCGCAACTGTGAATTTTTCTTCGTAAGTGGATGTGCTAGTCATCTGTTCCTGTCTTTGTTTAGGATTTTAGTAGTGTCGTTTAAATGTTTCTAAATACTCGCCAGCTTTGTAGACGTCTCTGGTTATCTCGATTGTTGTTTCTTGTAACCTTGCTGCTGGTTGAATAAGTGGCTCTGCTACGTTGTCAAGTCGCAGAGGAATTTCGAGTCTTGAATAATGTCGCATCGAAGGTATGACCAGGCAGATGGTAGATTCGTTTGGCGTGAATCAGTTCGCTCTTCTCGTATCGTCAAAAGTCACTGGCATATAATTATCACATACATCACTCTCTAAAGGTATATTCTCAACCTGACACTTTCTTTCCCGAGCCTTAACCCCTTTGTGATTTTCGGGTCGTTCTTGGCCCTCGATTCTCCGTACCAAACTAAATTATCAGGCCTATCGTCTTTCAAACACCGCGTCTTCATATTCTTTTTGTTCCAAACTCGTGTCGGTTCGGACACCTCGTATTTCCCGTTTGCCATCGAGCATTCCCGGGAAATTTCCCTACCAGCTCCAATTGGCATGGATGTGGAGTCAAACTTGCTCTCACAAAATCGTTATAACTCGTGACCTTTCTTGGTTCAATGTGTCACCCCCCCCTCCCCCGGGAGTCATGTTTCCTCATCACCCTTTAATCCGGTTGTCCCTCTGAATCCGACACTGACGGTGTATGCGGCGTTTTTTTACATGTCCGCGCATTGGGCGTGCGCGCGCTTCTCTCATTGATCGATCGTGCATGCACCCCATAGCAACCGTGGCGCGCGTGTCTCTTCTTGTGCCTACTCGCATGCCCACTTGTGTGACAGGCCACACCGATAATTTCACTGAAAATTTGAACGTATGTTTGATTTCGGTTGTGTGAATCCCAGTCTCTGAAGCCACGTTGGCTCCCTCATTTTCCTACCCCCCTCCTCGCTAATCGGTACAAGTTACTTGAAGTTAGCTAATTTCTGATGGTAACTGTCCTCTTTCGAACGTTGGATAATTCCGATCTTAAGGACATTACGAATACACTTGGTTGTTTTTTTAAGTAGACACTAGAACGTTTTGGTTTTCGTCAAGTTCTCGGGGCCCCCATAACGGGTGTCTTTATTAGCATTGATCTACTGAACGTGTTCACTCTTATTAGCCTAAATCCGCGTGTACCGGATCCTCAGAATGCCTTAGTGCTGTGCAACCCATCTGTGCAAATAAACTTCTACTCCTGTTGAATTGGTTTTTTTTTGCATTGTTGCTGCAGACGGTCAGCCAGTCGTCTGTAAAGATGAACTAGAGGCTTGGACGGCTAGTGAGGCAGGTCTTTTCGAAGAGGCCTTGGGCAAATACACTAAGGTTTTCCCGGACATTCTCACCGACTTCTTACCCTGGAAAACCTCCAAGTCCATTGTGGAATTGTACTACTTCTGGAAGACAACAGATCGCTACATCCGCCACCGGAAAAACAAAATGGTCGCTAAAGAGCAGAAGCTCAAGCAAGTGTACATTCCCGACTACAGTAAGCCCAACTCAGCTGTACTCTACAACCGAACCGATGGAAATGATCGCGGCTGTGAATGCTGTTACGGTACGTTCTCGTGTTCCTTCTCATGATGGATATGTTGCAACATTTTCTTCCGTTTGTCAGTAAGACGCTAATTCACTGCTTCAGAAATAAGATAGCGGAGTTAGTGTAAATGGCAACTCCACATTTTAGTGTGAGCTGGCAGACGGATCGGTGGTAGTGGTTAGACTGCTAATAGACTATATGTCCTATCTATTTGCGCTATCTGTCGTGGATTCCTGATTCTGATCCGAATCTTCCTATAACAAATTTGCACCTGCATGCTTTTTATGGTCTTGGGCACTTTTAATCTGCCAGTGTTTAACGTCTTTCGGTTGACCGCATGAAACAAGATTCTGGATGTGCCAGACAAATAGTGTACTCTCCGTTCTCTTTAATTTGCTTGTCCCTCCTGTTAATCACGGGTCTAATGCTTGTCCTCAGCTAAACCACCTATATTGACGCCTCAAAAAATAATGGCCCAATGATATCGCGCTGATGTCGGACTATCCACGAGTAAACTTGGTCGCCAATACTGATTTTGATTTGATACCACCTTAATCCTATCCATTTCGGCTAACCGAAGATTGATCAGCCAGATCTTGTGAATGAAGCTTAAATGTAGGTCACTCCAAAAACTAGTTGGGATGAACACATGCCACCGACTGGGTCCACTTCAGCTCGTCTTCCTATGAGGTATAGTGTGTTGATGTCTGTGTAGCCAACATGAACTTCGTTAAGCGTTCCCCGTGTTAAAAGGCATGAAACCCGACAAGAGAGTACACAATCGCGGGAGCATCGATTCTTGAAATTATTACCTGTGGGAATTTCGTGTGTCAAGTCGATGGGAAGCTCCAGTTTTTTCCTTTTTGCATTGTTCACAGGCTTTGTAGTAGAATTGCTCGACTACGTGATGCTTAGGTGATGAGATGACAAAGTACGTTCGCAATCGAGTGTTTACAAACGCCACGCTACAATTAATTCACGTTCGTGTTTGTGACTAGGTTGTTCCTCATTTTCCCAACCTTCACCACGCCTTCACTGCATAGCTTTACCAGTGTGGTTGTCGCCTTTTTAGCGAATGAAATTAACTTGCTTTCCGGGTCTTTGTTTAAAGTCCCCGAGTCGGGGTCAGCCTAGCTCAAACTCGATTATTGGTTTTATAACAATTGTTTCCCCTTGTAGTTGAAAGTTCTCCCCAGTGGTACGCATGGGGCCCGCCCAACCTGATGTGCCGACTTTGTTCGGGATGCTGGACATACTGGAAGAAGTATGGTGGTCTCAAGAATCCGGATAAGAGAGGTAAGCACTAAATCCACCCTCGAACCGCAAGTGACTTGTGTGTGTGTGTGTGTGTGCATCGGAACGAATGCGTCATCATCCTATCCCCTCGTTTCTGCCTCGCTTTCATCATGTGTGAGTTCGCACTTCTTGAATGCGTAACTGGAGGCAGTTCGCCGCACATAACAACGCGCAAACGCGAGATCTATCGATTTAGTACTTACAGCAATTTGGTTTGCATTTCACTATCGGTAGTTTTGTTAGGGTGGCCAAGAAACCGCTGACAAGATCGATGTTCACATTTGTGTAAACCATGGGACAAGGAGACGGTTGGGTGTGTCACGAGATGCTAACCCTTTGTGGCTTATTCGTGCTCCGTCACCAAGTCGATCGTAACATGGCAGCACACCGATTGACATGCCGTAATAATTTTTTTCACAGCTTTTTACCCGCAATTTACTGCTTGTTGTGTTTGTGTATTGGTTTATCGATTTCGCACCTCATTGTCCCTGCCCTTTCCTCTCATTTCTTATTACCACTCTCTCTCTCTCTTTGTATGCTCATCCAAAGGTGCCCCCGTAAATTCACGGCCATCCCCCGAACAACGCGTTCAAGGTGATTTGTGTTCTTTTTCATTTTTTTTCTCGTTCTCGCCTTGCCCCGATCGCGCCTCGCTTAACCTCTCCCCCCTCCCCTTCCCGCCGACCCCCTCGCCTGCGCGCCCCTACCCGTCCCTCGGTGTCTGCACGAAGTTGATTTGAACTGCTTGCGGAATTATTTGTCACCAGCATTCATTAATGGAGCACACCATAAGCTCCAACTTGGTCCGTCATGCTAGCAGACTCCGATAGTGACTTTTGATGGACAACCACTAAAACTGGTGTGCTAATCAAACTACGTCGTCCCGCTTTTTCATAAGTGCACACTGAGAATAGGGCAACCTCACCACGCTTTGCTACGAATTGGACCTTGGTGCCATCGGATCTACACTTCTAAATAAAGTCACCGGCTTGCTTTATGTTAGAGGGCAATTAACTTAGTGACCCGTCTGGTAATGCAAATTAGCTGGTGGTGAGCGTGTAGGTTCACAATCGCTTCACTACAGTCATTGTGCTGGATCGTTAGGATGCCGGTTTTACGTAGTTTCGCTTTCGCTTACCCACGCGCTGCACATAGTTTTCTGTTGTGCTTTGATTTTAGAGCCTAGGTGTTGCGCTGACTGATTTCCCAAAAACACCTCTAATTATAGTGGCCCCAAATCCTGGTTTAGTGCTAGTGTATGCTATTCATCTAATTTTTCGAGTAGTTGCTCTTTGTGATGACCTTCAAAGTAGAGCCGTCGTTTTTAGTTAATGTGGTTTAAGTTTCTTTTTAAAGCAAACTTCTAGGATATGTTTCTTTCCCGTAGATCGCCTCGAGGCACGAAGATCCGCTGCTTCGGCGGCAACCGTGTCCACTTCCCCCACAGGATCCCATGAAAACACTGGAGTGGATCACCAGCGGGCGCCCGCACACCATCCCCTCTCTGACGGGAGCCTCACCTCTACCATTTATCGCTGTGGTCAACCTGATTGTGTCAAGGAGTTTCGCAGTAAGGACAACTTGGCCATTCATCTAGCCCAGGTACGTCCCGAGTTCACCAAAAATCTCTTAATTCATCTTCTTGGCCTCGTAGTTGGATTGCGTATTGTACCGTTACCCTCGCCTAGGTGCACAACGTGCCAACCACCTCCGCCTGCATCGATCCGGCCAGTGTGCCCGTCATGTTGGCCAATGTCGCCGGGGTATTCCAACACGGAGCCGGCACTCAGTGTATCCTTACTCCCGCATCCCTCCGCATAGTTCGCACGCTCTGCCCCCTCCTCTTGCGTCCTTCCGTGTTAGCGCGTCGTCCCACAAAACTCGCCAACTCAACTGCTCAACAACGGCCTCCCTCTGAACCAATCATACCCACTGACGACCTCATGGTGCGTCTCAAAACCCTAGGTACGTCGCGATCTGTCTTCTTTGCATGCTGTTTGAGCTGGCGATCAAACGCAGTTTCTCTACGTAGGGCCTTCTGCTCAAATATGAGTTTAACGACTACTAAAAGGCCGTGTCTTGGGCTACTTAGTAACCTGTTTCTCGGCCCGACACCCACTGACTGGTAAAATTATATTCAAGGCCTAGCTCACCCAACTAGTGATCAGTTTATGTGTTTGTAACAATTTGTCGATCGCGAGGGCTAATTTACTGGCAGTGCGATCATTTTAATCCAACTATGCTCTCGTTTTCTACGCAAATAAAAATGGGTGCCTGCCACATGTAAAGCCCTTTCCGTCGTTGGTAAAAGTCGGTTTTAATTGGCAAGGCAGTGCCGATCTCGTGACAGTTCACCACAGCCATAATGCGGCTGATCGATGCTATGTCCAGATTGGGTTACGCGTGTCGGTCTCCACGTAAGCGCGCCAACCCACGAGAACCAGCTTTGCGTAATTTGCGGAAATGTCGAACTCTTCAGTGCAGCCGAAAGCATTTTAACCCATTATTTTGACGCGAAATCTCCAAGCACTCGTCGAATCTTTTGTGTTAGTGCTTTTTCTACACTCGAAAGAACAAAGTTCTGTCCTTTTGATTTGCTACTTCCTAAAACAAATGGTAACTACCCTGAGGAAGCCCTAAGTTCACTCCATTGAACATTCTCTCAACTCTGTGTTTCCCTTCTGCTGTTTGACTCAGCCCTCATTTTTCTGCTTAAAGCCAAGTCACGTATCCCCGCCTTGCGTGACCCGCAAGCCGTACTCAACCGAAAACTACCTATCCGTCCACTTGCTTCGGTCATCAGGAAGCTGAAGCTCCGGGTCGGCAGTGGAGACGGGTCCGCCGCGGTCTCTTTGAAACGCCCTCTCGACTCTGGAGCGCTGATTCACAACGGCGGAGGAGACAGTACGAGTGGAGGGGTCAACACCACCGCTCTTTCCATAAATGGAGATGATCAGCCGTTGGAAAAGAAACAGCGAGTGGCCATTTCAGACAACTGCGGCAGCAACGGCCACGTGATTCCGTAGGTGTTCCTTTCGGCAGTTTTACAAGCTAACTGCCCCTACCTCTGTGTATATGATCCCCTCCTAATGTTTGTTACAATGCTTGTTTTGTCTCCCCATTCTTCCTCCCCTTCCCTCATGTATTCTCCCTACCTCTTGCGTGTATCTGCTTCGCCTATACATTACTGTATGTGCTTGCGCTTACACGACTGATGAAAGCTTATCTGTAATTTGATGTCTTTTTATTGGGTTGGTTGACATCTAACTTGTTGTCTGGTCGAATTTTCGGCGCCGGAAGACACTTTGCAAGGAAGCCGTTTTTCAGTGTGGCTGTTTTGAGAAGCCTTTGGCCTACAGCTCGGAGGGTTCCATTCTGCGCCCCTTGGGGGCGCTTGTGCTTGCGCTGCAAGCGTCTGGGCTGCAGGCCTGGGTGGTTGGCTTGACCCAGGAGGAGTTGTTTAACGGGACCGGGTTGTGGCGACTGGCGAATTTTCAGGGATTTGCCACGTAGGCGGCTCTCGAGCGCGTGCGCCTGCACACGCGGAGGTGCGACGTCATTCAAATTCGTAACCATAGCAATTGCCAGCTTACTGAGTCATGACGTTCTAGAATGCACGTGCTTAGAGAAGCTGCAGTCGGCTTACTGTGTTGTCGGCATATCCTTGTAAAAGTTAATTTAGGAGGTAGGGGTTGGCGTAGGGCGTTCGTTCGTTTACCACTTGGCGATGCCGGTGGTGCCTCACTGCTTGCTCTGGGCCGCGTTCCGGCTCGTAGGTTTTGAGAACGCCGTTATCTCCAGGTATTTCAAGCAAATGAGTGATGTGTGAAATGTACTGTAAGCGGCATTGCTTCACCGTCGGCAAAATCCAAGTCGTGTTGTCCTGAGGTCAGCCCCTCATTAGTAGATGAAGGCGACGTGGACTAGCGATAATGGTCCACATCCTAAAATTGACAGAAAAGAGAGGAAATCAGGCAGTTAGGGGTTCATACCTATGTGAGGAATGATGGCGCGGCGAACGCTTGCCAAAGAAATGGTGCGCCAGCTAGGATGAGCTTCGGGGAAGCCAGTAGATGTGACAAGACCGAAGGAGCGACTCCGAATGACTACTGTCCGGATTACGCCAGTGACTATCCACAGATTTTAATGCGGATAGGTGTGAAGAAGCTATTCTAGAGGGTGAGCCTCAAAGTAGTCTTGGAGATGAAATTAGTTTAGACACTGGGTGCTTGTATGTAAAAATTTTCGTTTTAATGAACGTATTGGTGAACTTGCCTTGATAAGTTAGAGGTAAAGTAATTGGACAGGATCCTGAAGCTATTTTATGTTCTACTTAAGCTAAGCGGTTACTGCCCTGGCCGGCTTCTGTAGCTGGGGCGAAATAACACCAGTACAGGGCCCCAACAAGTCCTGTCCGTTGATACTATGTTAATTGAAGTATGCGTAGAACGTAAAACCTAAGGAACAGAAAACCGAAATCGAAGCAGAGGTTTCGCGATTCAAAGATACTGTATGTTCAGTACAACCAAACAGCTTTAGTTTAATGCTCCTAAATGAATAAATCTAAGAACCATGGTGTGCAAAGGGGTTCATGTGAAACACATTAGGACATGAAGTTTCCTCTTGTCGTCCGATACACCACACCATTAGCGAATAACTGGGTCTAAATCAGTTAGTTTTGTGATTGTCCACTTTCGTCCCTGCCTATGGGGTAACAATTTAAAAATCAGGCCTACTTTTCGGAACTTCGAATGGCACACCTGTGCTGTGTGGGTGCTGGCAAAAGGTATTTGGGGTGCAGGACGTGGGCATTAGGCTCAGGTGGCTAACACCCAGTCTGTACTTTTAAAAATTCTCGGCCAAGTTCAGTCTCACCAACAAAGATGCGGTGTAGTTTCAAAAACGACAACCAATTATGTTCACAAATGCAGGCTTCATTTTAGCCACTGGGCTACCTCTTTGTACGCATTTGGTGTGGTTCAAAAAGTCGCGAGATTAGACTCTTATTTCTAAATTAATGTTGACTTCGGTGTGTTAATAGTCACTTCCCCTTGTGATTCCACCACTAGTCAATCCGAGATTCTGATGCTCTTCTAGGTTGACGCTTCCCGAGAACTCCGAACACTCGTTAGGCGTCAATTCTAGTGCACACTGACCGGACGGAAATTCGCAAACACGGAGCTTTTCATTACAAAATCATTCAAATAAGCTATTAAAATAATGTATTAAGGTGGCATATTTTATTTAGAGAGTTAAATAGTACTGGTAGATGGTTCTTTCAAGCGCTCAAATCTATTTACTGAATAGTATGAGTTGTTACTTAGAGGTTTCAATTAGCTTCGAAACTTGGCTCTCGTGATTGCATGTAAAATGCGACGACCCGGACACATAAATTAAACTTTTTTTTCGGAAACCTCCTGATTTTACCCTTTCACCCTACGTGGCGACTTGTGAGTTACCCAAGATTAAGAGTTTGGTCTGACTGCTCTGAATTTGAGCAGAGGCACTTAGGTGCCAGTTGATTGCGTCGGCCGTTTTGAATTCAGGTTCGATTTCTTCCCTCATTTGTTCACTGAAATCTTATTTTGGGATTTAATATATGTGAAGCTGATGCGTGATTTCAGTGTTTAGTGATGTGAATGTTATGCAAGTAAATTCGGTCTAAGGTCTATGATGACTTTGTCTCAAGGGCTGAAATACTGAAGTACTTTAAAAGGAATAGAGGTGCTGTTCCCTCATTAAACTGCTGTAGCAGGATGTTCCTGGTTTAAAAATTAGAAGAAAAATGTTTCCGACTTTACTAGTGAGTCTTTGATGCTCAACCAGCAATTCGACACTCGGATTGGGTAGACAACAAACAATTGTTAAATTCGATATGGCCCAGGCTGTTGCGGTGACGTGATTGATTACAGAGACCATGATGGTATGTTGAACATTTAGATACCAATGCACAAACTTTCCCACAAAGCACGCTTTGTTTAGCTGACCCAATATTTATATCGCCCTTCGTTTTTGCGACAGCAACGCGCGAATTCATACTTAATGCTACTGGCTTAGCTGCGTCGCAGCAAGGTTATCGATTTTTGCTGTTTACTTATTCACGTGCCGTCAGCTGATTGGTTTATTTCCCCCCACGCGCACAGCGCATGCGCGTAATCAGATTTGGCTAAGTCGTCATGACGTTTAAGAGAACGCATGAACTCTGCCTAAGGCTGACAAATATGTGGGCTTGTGGTCAGATTCCGGTTATGAAGGCCCTACATTTTGAAACTACTGAATAACTTGAGCGTTATCACAACTGTCACCTAATTGCCGGGCAAATTCACAGATCAACTCCCAACAATGAAAATTCATGAAACCATGGTAATCAGGTGGTTTGAATTGTAATCAGAACTAGCATTTAATCAGATAAATGTTTAAATCGTTAGCTCAAGTTGCTTTTTACCAAAATGTCGCTCCTTCTTGTGACTAAGTTTGACTCCTGTTAAAATCCAAAAAAAAAGGGAACAATAAACAGCTTGAATCAGACGGGTTGATTTGATTCAAAACGCGAAAAGTCACATTACCTACTTCGTACCTAAATAAAACTCCAGGGGATTTTTCGGCTATAGGCTTGGGGATACTCATTTCAGCAAGGTAGCATTGGTCGTCGATGGGGAAATTTCGCACGCAGTAAAGTGTGTTCTTGAGCTCTTTGGGCGCTCCTCGCTGACTATTGGGTCTTCCTGTTTTTTTAAAAAAAATTCCTTTAGTGGTAGAGCAGTAACGGGCTCTGTTTTTTAGAGTAAAATTACGAATCACCAGTTTGTAAAATCACATTTATCTGATTTACTTGAAAAATCGATTCCCAGGGGGACAGAAATACATCTAATTTTGATCGATGTAACTGCCTCTAAAGGTTAAGTAGAGTTAATGCTCTTCATATTGACATTAAAATTGATCAATAAATCATACTATGAAGTACTCAAAAGCACTCTAATCAAACTGACATGAATTTTATCTGTTTATTTGTCAACACTGCGCCATAGCGTTCCGGATTCGTTCCCGAACTTACTTTCTTACCTTGCCTCCAATACAAGGCTTTAAAATTGAAGCCTTGAATAGGTCATCCCTGAAATAACACCGATGCAGCTGCATAAACCAACGATCTCCGGTTCTTCTGCACTGTTTTTCCAAAACGATGCTGCGTAATTTTTTAACATTTAAACTCTGAATGCAGATGTTAATTGGCGCTTTCGGTCAGTGATGAAGTGGCCTAATTGTTCATTATTGCTAATTACACAAATGGGCCAAAAATATTAGGTACTTAAGCACTCCAGTTAAAATTGCCTTGCGCATTCTTAAACCCGATTTAAAACCAGGCAAGGGACCATTGGAATGAGCCTGGCCAGCTTCAGGAGACACCTGTATCTGCACTACCCAGTCCAACTCTCGACTTCGATTGGTTCATCGTTTAGGTGTTAGTGCCGTGATGTTGAGAGCAGGTAGATCGAGGTAGAAGTCCTAATTCGACCTAACGCACTCTTGTGATTCCCTCGCATGGATTATCTGTTTGGCACTGCAGTGCGCACTCGCACTGAAACCCAATGGAAAAAAACTGCATGATTAACGTCGCCCATCCACGTCCTGTTTTAGTATCGTCTTAGGGCAGCCGAAGGGGTCTTGCATTGCTTGTTTTGTCCCCTGGAAGGAGAACTAGGGGGCTAGGCAATTAAGGTTGCGTCTGGTAACAATAAACACCTTGAGAAACCTGTAAATTATGTGTGGTGGAAGGTGCGAAATAATTTGCTGAATTAGCAAAAGTAAAATGAAGGCAAAACAAGGGTAGAGGCTTATTCTTAATCACAATTAAAAATGACTCAACTAGGCTATTCTAAATGAGTAGCCACCACGACCTACGTATGTACGGTTAGCCCTTTGACTGATTCCAGAACACCATCAGTAATTGTAAACCGGCGGCATGATGTATGGCCAGTGGTCGAGCGCCTAGTTGACGGACCACAAGTTGAATATTTGTTTTTCTGTAATTGCATAACAATTGCCCATTTTAAGCTCCCATTCTGAAGATGTCCTAGACATTTGATCAATCATACGACCAGCCTTGTTCTTTTCACCCGGAAAACAGACAATTTGGTCTTAGAAGGCGCGAGTGATGCCAAAATGTGAAAAAAAACCTCTTTTTGATCCCCTCAGTGGCTCTGATTTGGTTTTACCCAACACACGCATTAAAAGGACTGAAACACAGTTTATCATGAGCCACAGTCTGTAACATGGACACAAGAATGACGAAATCTGCACGATCCGACTTACATGCTTTCTGAAAATATCAGATAATTTCACAGAATAGTAGGATATTCACATGATTTCAGAGAGCGCCTTTTTTAAGAACTGAACACAGTCTCCTGTTGTTAGGCACAAATAAACTGGTAATTCATTAACGGCCAGTCCTAAGTATTACTGCTGAACGAATTTTGGTGTTAAGTTGCGAAATTGTTTAAGATGAGAAAAAGGAAGCATGAAATATCACTCAACTTCACTACCTAAGAGTCAGTTTTCCTCATTCAACTATCTCCATT